GAGATATAACTGACTCGGTTCGCCCTACCATATGATTATACATGCTTTGCAGACGGGTACTCCATTTGAATAAGAAATATTTGTCTGGTGTACAATTACCGCGTATACAATAACCTATTTTGAATATTTCTTATTCAAATGGAGTATCGTCTTCAAAGCACGCATAATCATATGGTAGGGCCAACCGCGTCAGATTATATCTCCCTTCTATCCCTTACTCCCTGGCCATAAACCACAAACATTAAGTCTCTTTTTATCTAGACCGGAGCAGGAGAAGATGGTTTAACTGGAAAGGAAGGTGGCGGGGGAGGAGGAGGAGGAAGGGGAGGAGGAGCAAGGGCATAACTATCTAGCAGATGATGGAGAAGATCAGTTTGAAACTATTCAACAGGTAAAATGTGTGAGATAACAACATCTAGATTTTTAAAAGTTTTTCGTCGATTTTCGACTTTATTTGATATGTAGATTTAAAACCTTTTCATTTTATCAATAAGTATGTACAAATAGGCTGTAATAAATGCTTTGCTGACAAAAATTTTATTATTTCGTTTCATTGATGTAAATAAAGGTCGTCGTTGTTCGACTTCATTTGATGTAAAACCTTCTAATTTTATCAAGCACCCCGGGCTAACCAGTTTGAGATGGATTAGGTTTCTTCTACATATTTGAATTTAATCACGTGTTCGTCTATAAACTTAAGAAGTTGTCTTTTTAGATTTTTTTCGTTTAAAACGCATATCCCGACAAAACCGAATAAATGAGAAAGGGCGTAAAAATATGTTTGATAGATCCTAGATCCTAGATCGAAAGTCACAGTTCTCTCGGATAAGAACAGTTAAATACGCGTGCCATGGGCTGTACAAATAGGCCGTAATAAATGCGTTGCTTTCTTTGCTTACGACGGTCCCTAAATTGGGAGAGGGGTCTTTAAAGGTCGTCTTTTTATCAAATGAGGGCTTTTTCTTAGAATCGACAACTTTTATTCAAGTTAGAACTAAAACCTTTAAATATCGCAAATTCAAAAATGTCATGATATACTGCCTATAGCTTAGAGTCTTCATCTTGTTGCAGGAGTTCCAGGAGGTGCTGACGGAGTTAGCCAAGGATAAGTCCATGGACGCGTTCAGGGGGGAGTACGAGAAGCTCTTCAATACCCTTGAGAAATCTAATAAAAATGAGAAAAGATTGAGAACTAAGGCAGAACATCCTTGATACAGCAGAATATTTAACAATCTTTAAATGGAACTGAAAGTTATCCTCTACTTATAGAAGGGAAATATCCGATTCAAAACCGTACTTTTTAAGCTTTTGTATTATTAAGAAGAGTTGAGAAATGCAGCTGCATGAGACATGAAAAAAATGTCAAAATTTAACACAATATAGTTACTGATAAAGAGGATTCACCTAATTGTAAATCGGACATGCCACTCTGTTTTAAATGGTGGTTCACTTTCCATTTTGTTATCCCTTTATCCACAAATTAAATGGAAGTGGTTCAACTATGTTTACGCGGTTCAACTACTTCTCACTATTCAATAAATCTGGTCCCTCATCTTACATAGATTGAAAATAAAGGAACAAACTTAACTTTTCAATATATTTGCAACCTGATGGCGTAAACCTTTCACATTTCAAACTTAAAATATTTGATTTAACAAATTTCATAGTTTGAAATTTCAAAGGTCTACGACATATCGTTGCAAAGATAAAGAGAAACTTTGTTCCTTTAAAGTCAGATTTTGAACTATATATATATTGGGGGATTTCAGTGCAAAGAGTTGGTTTCAGAAATATCTCTGCACATCTCTAAAGTTGATCTTGCACAAGATCAATCACAGGTCAGAAAATCAGAATAATAAAAAAATTCGCGGCGCTTCTCTATCTACATATCTTTATTCTCTTCATAATCATATTTTTTTTTAACTCGTTTAAATATTCTTTTTTAACAAATTTGATGCCTTTTTCTTTCCATATTTTTTTTACAAATTACAATTTCTAGCTGATTATTATTTGATACATGTTTAAAATGCAGATAATCATTTTTTTCCAGTATTCTTTTTTTATTTTTTAAAATATTTAAAATTACACTATTATCATTATTTAATTGTAAAGTGCTAAAGCTAGGCAAAGCTTATTTCGTTGTATCTTTATTTGTATTTTAATCAAAACGGAACAAAATTTATAGAAACTAATCTATTTACTACAGTGATAACTAGAAAACTACTGAATAGGAAGACGACATTAGAGCAATACTGAAATACATTTGATGTTTTTACAGAGAAAATAGCTTCACTAGTAAGCTATTAAATCAATTATTAAGTGAAATGGGACTGTTCACAATTGCTGTGCCTAATGTTTATGTGACTCAAAAGTTGATTTAAAAGCCGACTTCTTATTCCAGAGTTTGCTGATTATCACCGTAACACTCTCCTTTTCTCAAATGTATAACATTTTGGAATTTTGAGAAAAACAAGAAACAAAGCTTCAATTAATTCTTTTTAGCCGTTCAGAAGTATATCGGAAATTTTTGTTGAGATATTTTCAAATACACTGTTATAATGTTCCGGAGGATCAGAACACAATCAATACACTGTTATTATGTTCAGGAGGATCAGAACACAATCAAATACACTGTTATAATGTTAAGGAGGATCAGAACACAATCACTACACTGTTATAATGTTCAGGAGGATCGGAACACAATCAAATACACTGTTATAATGTTCAGGAGGTTTAGAACACAATCAAATACACTTTTATAATGTTCAGGAGGATCAGAACACAATCAAATACACTGTTATAATGTTCAGGAGGATCAGAACACAATCAAATACACTGTTATAATGTTGAGGAGGATCAGAATACAATCAAATACACTGTTTTACTGTTCAGGAGGATCAGAACACAATCAAATACACTGTAATAATGTTCATGAGGATCAGAACTCAATCAAATACACTGTCATTATGTTAAGGAGGATCAGAACACAATCAAATACACTGTTATAATGTTCAGGAGGACCAGAACACCATCAAGTCTCTGAAGAAGGAGATAGAGAAGGCCTGGAAGATGGTTGATACTGCTCAAGAAGGGGAGGAGAGGGCTAGAGAAACCATTGAAACCTTAAATACTGAGATTCAGAATCTAACAAAGGTTAGGGTTAAAGAAGGGGGGGGGAGAGGTAGAGAAACAATTGAAACCTTAAATACTGAGATTCAGAATCTAACAAAGGTTAGGGTTAAAGAAGGGGGGAGGGAGGTAGAGAAACAATTGAAACTTTAAATACTGAGATTTAGAATCTTACAAAGGTTAGGGATAATGAACTATGGAAACTTTGAAGACTAATTTTCTGAATCATATTTCAGATCTAAGAAATACTTGTCGTCGCAGGAATAAAAAAATTTCATTATTTCAGCGGGTCTTTTCAATTAAATTTACATTTAGAGCTCTTGGAACTGATAACCCGCCTCCAAACTCTAAATTAAGCTGGATCAAATAGCTTAAAATATCAGAACCAGACTAGTGGAACATTAGGTTGCAAAGGAGTTGAGTCTTTGTCACAAACTCTGATTTTCTAATTCCTACATCTTTGTAGACCTTAGATATTTTAAACTATTACTTTTAATCTTTGTGAAACAATCTCAAGAACTGACGAGGGTCAACCCAGATCGAAATATATTTTTAACAAAATGTGGCACTAACATCTGTTTTTTTACTCTACAGAGGTTTGGTCCATCACCATCACCGAATATTAAAACTATTACTAATATTAGGTCAAATAGCCTAAATTTTTAAATATTAAAAGTTTTCATCATCAGTTTTCAAATATTTGGGGTTAAAAAATTTGAGTTTGCGGCAAAGATCCAATTTCTTGATTCAGGGATTAGAGAATTAGAGTTTGATGCGAGTTATTAGTTTCTTTAAATCAACGATTTGATTTTGTTCTTTGTTTAGGTGATAGAGGAGAAAACTTTGGGAGCTGAGGATAATAATATAAATGAACTCCGTAAACTTAGGTAATCAATTTAGGCTGAATATAGTGATGACATCGTTTAGAGACATTTCATGAATTTTGACGTTTAAAATGCTCCGCAAAAATTTGAGTTATTACTCACAATGTAAAATTGTATTCTCGATAAGTTTACTAAAACATGATACAGACAGAGACACATGACCACTTGCACTCTCATTGGCGGGAGTTCTGCTGACGTCATACGGACTTAAAGAAAAATGTTATCAATTATATCTATTAAAAATCAAAATCAAAATTATACAATAATAATTTGAAAAAACCCTAAGTTACAATTAGGTTTCTCGGGGTTTCAAATTGGTTGCGTATTTGCTGAATATGATGTTCTATACAAAATTGTATATATATTAATTTTTGTATACAGTTTTATATCAATTTCTGGAGACAGGGACATCAGATAGAACTTTTATTGGTTGCGATCAAGAAGTAAAGTGATTAGCTTTCATCCTATACCCCCATTTATACATTTCCTTTACAATCCCCTGAGTGGGTATTATATGTAACTAGTGGTGGTTAGATGGCAGTTCAAACGACAATATAGGTTAAGTTAGCCCAGCCCGTGAATTCCGTGAAAGCTGATTAGCAGTCCGTATATATCTAGTCTGGGCGTCTGATAAAAATTTAGAATTTGTTTGTTTATGTTTTGATTGCATACTGTTGTACTCAGTAACATGAGAAATACAGATTATTCTTTTTCTTTGTTCATCTTGCAGACATTTTATATTGACACATTATACAACGTTATAATGCAAGGAAAGTTATTTCAGAGGTGTACCGCATCTTTTGTACTGCAGTGTATTGTCTCTGGGCGGTAATGTAAACACACGACGGATGTCGCAGCCTGACATGGGATCCATCTTTCACATAAAAATCAATGAAATATTCTATTTATAGGATACTATTATGTGAAATATCAAAATTATCAAAGTTAAATGCTTTTAGCCTCCTCGGATATTAAACGAACACTGATTCATCTATTCTTGTTTACAAATTCCGCCCAGAGAGAACTGGTTTCAATATGAACGCAAAGTATACGCAACTCCAATTCTTTTTCCTTGCATTATAACCTTTGCATTATACAACAATCAGCCTTTGTGGTTTACAAGAACATGCTGTGTAAACTCAAAAATATTTAAACTCCGATTTAGGTAAAATTATTAAATCTTTAAAACAAACGAGTTTATTTAGGGATGAATTAACACAGCAAAGGGATGGTTTACAGCTAGATCTGGCAGATATTAAAGTCAAATTTGAGGTAAAAAAAAACATTGAAAACGCGGTCAAAATCGTCCTTTATTTCCGTCGCATTTCTCTTTAAATCTAGTCTAGAATATTATTATTTTATATTATTTGGTTTAAAAGACATCTTGTATTATGAAGGGTGTTGGCTTACAAAACGCAAAACTCCTAAATGTCAAACTTTAGAAAGAAAATACATAATGGTCTAGAGAGACAAATTCACAAAAATACAAACGTTAGGAAAAAGCTAATTCCAAAAAAATCCATATTTAAAAAATTCCCAAAAACACACAGTTTTTACTTGTAAGGCAAACTAGTGTTTGCGGACCAAAATAAAATTTGGAAATGATGATATCCTGTTAACACTTTCAATTTTCAATATTTCTATAAATGGGATTCAAATCTGAATTTAGAAAAAATGAGATGGTTTATACAATTTTCAAAAATAATTGTTGGTCTAGAAATTATAGTAATATTCCGAATTTTACAATTGCCCGATCAGAGTCCGAATTTAATGAATTTGAGCCGCGTCTCAAATCCGCCAAAAACCGGTTTCAATTGATCCCTGGCTTAAATCTCAAAGTAAGCCGCGGCTCAAATTCTTAAAATTCAGGCTCAGAATTAGTTATATGGACAATTTGAAACATTAGAATTGCAATAATTTTTAAAGATCGTATAATCTTAATACACTATACCTCCTGAGTCCAGGATTCCGGAAATCGTTTTTAATTGCTATATTTTATTTTGGTCTGAATTTAAAAACTACGGTCGGTACAATTCCAATACAGATGATGCTTAAGTAAACAAATATTCAGGGTGTCCCACGAAACATAACAATTAGGGAATGGTTTGAAATGTCTTCTTCTATAATTTGTAAAGTTTTTTGATACCAAAGAGAAAAATAACAAATATTGTATGGGAGTCATCTTACAGTAAAATTGATTTCAAAGTAAAATATATTTGAGTAAAAGATTTTTAACTAAAAAAAACTACAAAAAGTCTTCAATATCTAATACAGTATATGGAAGAAGACATTCAAAACTATTCACCAACTGTCATAATTCATGGGACATCCTGTAGATGAACGAGAAGGAGGTGAAGGAACTGAAATCTGAAAAGTTGAAACTGGAGAAAGATGTTGCAGATCTACAGTCTGAAGCTCAAACAAGGTGGGATGGTGTAGTGAGGGGGTGCAGGACGCCAGGAGCCCCGTGAAATGGTCTCCAAGCCTCTGGATTCGCAGATGAGTATTTAAAATTACATGGCGCTATCCATATCCTGTAGAATAGATATTATACAATTATTTATGTACAAAATGTATAAAAATATCTAGAAAAAAAATATTCAATATTTTAACAGTTATGCAATGTTTTTTGGATATTCAAGAAAACACTGCATAACTATTTAAAGAATAAATGTTCTTTAAAGAATGTTATTTATTACTTCTATAATATCTATTATAACGTTTAGGGGTAGCACCAGGTCATTATAAATACTAATCCATGCGAATATGGAGGCTTGGAGACCATATTTCGGGGCTCATGGCGGCCCTGCACCCCCTCCCTCGATGTTGTTGGTAAGAGGGTAGTTGTTTCTTTTGAAAAAAATCCCAGAAGTGAGACACATTGTAAAAGTTTTGACATGTTATGTTTATGGTATTTGTGCCAAAATAAAAATATTTACGACATTTTTAAATTATTTTTATGGGGTCGTATTTTAGTATTTTTGTATTTTAGGGGGTTTGAGGGGGGTGACTGGTTTTTATCACAATTTTTTCTTAAGATGCATATGTCTTATGTTTTATGATGAGAATGGACTGGATGAAAGTATTCTAATATTCAAATATGTTTTAAAACGACAAATTTAGTTATAAAAACAATTTTAATTTGCCACCAAATAAACTGCTTTAAAAGAAATTAAGATGATACAAGGTTGTGTTAACTAAATTAAAAATTCAAAATATTCTATTGATTGAATTTACCGTCTAATGATCCAAATATATGAATGTCGCGACCGTTTCAAAGAAGCATGAGGTTTTGAAATGTTAGCATTTAAAACATGTATTTTTTAACCATTTTCTGCTCAATTTTTACATCTCAGTCAAAAAAAAAAATTTAAAAAATAAGATCAACTTAAAATTTCTAAATCTTAAAATTCCTAAAATTTTAGATCAACTTATTGATATTTCTAAATCTTAAAATTCCGAAAAATTAAAATCAACATTTTGATCAAATTTGTAAATCTCAAAATTCCTAAAAATTAAGATCAACTTTTTGATAATGATACAATTTCTTAATCTTAAAATTCCTAATAAATAAGATCAACCTTGATCCAATAACTATAGTTTGATTGATTGAAAGCTACATGGTTGATTGATTGATAGTAATTCTAAATCTTAGAATTCCTAAAATTAAAGTTTAGCAGTTTGATAGAATTTCTAAATCTCAGCACTTCTAAAAATTAAGATCAATATCAAAATTTAAAAAAATGTTAAATCTGTATCTACAGAAACAACGAGATGAATCGTGAGATGAGGAGAAAGGAACGCGCTGAACGAGAACTCAAGCAGCTTAAAAACGATATTCTAGCGAAGGAGAAACAGCTCTCAGAACAGCTGATGGTTAAGAAACAGCTGACCGATAATATTTCAAGGTAAGGGCCAATTCACTCCTCTAAAAACAGGGGGCGCCCCCCTAACAGGTTTTGAATCAAAGTATGCAGGTGAAATGCAAGTTCATAGCACAAAATTGTCAAGACCAAGCTAATCTTTAAAAATTTTACCGCTTATTCCATTTATTTATTCCATTTAGAGCATTCATTTTTCAAGGGATACTCTTAGAGCATATTTCACCTTTGCAAGCTTCTGCACAGCAAATTTCTTAATTTAGAAGTTAGAACGCATTTCTAAATAAAAAAGATTCCCCTAATAAAAACTGATTAAATAAAAACTGATTAAATAAAAACTGATTAAATAAAAACTGATTAAATAAAAACTGATGAAATAAAAACTGATTAAATAAAAACTGATTAAATAAAAACTGATTAAATAAAATGAAAAAAATTTTGCAAATTTTTAAAAAAAATTCGCGGATTTTCAAGAATTTAAACTTTTTTACAAAATTAAAAACCTTTAAAACACTTTTTTTTTAATTTCTATCATTCATAAACCTTCCCTGTGGTCACGTGATGTCCCACAAAAAATGTGGGCCCGATCGGTTCAGCCGTTTTGACGTTTATGGATACAAACAAACAAACAAACACCCAGACAGACAAGCTAAATTTATAATAAATAAATATATAGATGAAAGTTTATAGGGGACCTTTTCATCAATTTTAATTACGTCAACAAATGTTTTTATAAGATGTATTTTATTAAACTCATCATATTTAGCAATCTAACACTTTCATATGTGAAACTTGAACTGCATAGTTTTTAATACTTAGTCCGAATTTAATGAATTAAATCCGCGTCTCAAATCTGCCAAAACCGTTTTAAATTAAGCGCTGGCTTAAATATCGAAACATTGAATACAATTTTAAGTGGAAATAACCAGCCATATTTGAGCCGTGTCTCAAATTCAAGTCGCGGCTCAAATTCTTTAAATTCAGCCTCTGGTTCAACAGCAAATTTAAATATTTAAAAAATTTTCCGACTAACTTTTTTGTTACTTATCGGGATAGGGTTAATTAAAGTAAGTTAGACATCCTTCTAAAGAAGTTCAGTTGTGTAAGGGTTGCTCGGAAATACAGTTTATAACCTCAATAGAGAGCAAGGTTGTATAATAAGGTTGCTTACACTCGACGCGCTCCAATGTAAGAGAAATGTCATCTCCTAAGCATGAAGAGATAAAATCTGTAAATGACGGCACTGCATAGAGAATGACGTCATATACGGATTCTATCTGTCTTGCTGAGGAGACGACATTTTCCTTACATTGGAGCGCATCTAGAGTAAGCAAACTTATTATACAACCTTGATAGAGAGAGAGATGGACGGGTTGACGGAGAGGTTCTCTAGGCTCCAACAGGAGCATGAGAACCAACTGTCCACCAATCAACAGCTTGAGGTCGAGGTTGCCAGAAAATCATCTCAGCTTCATGAGAAGGAAGATGTAGAAGTTCAACTCAGGTAGATAGAGTAATAAAATCCCACTAGATGGTGATGATTCAACTGGCGTGTACTGTTCCAATCATAAAGTTTTAAAAAATTATTGAGAACATTTAAAAGTCCAATGTCTAGCCGATCACTCCCTTTAATACATGATATCCTGGTATATATATTTAATATATAATATCTATTTAAAGGGAGTGACCGGCTAGACACAGAAGTCGAGCAAAGAGTGCAGTATTGCAGATAAATTGTTAGGATGCATTTGAGACCTGTAACCTTTTTTTACGGTGAATACTTGCTGAATTAGAGCATAAATGTTATCTATGAAATCCTCCCGAATTGGCTATTCTTGAGGTTTGATTTTTAAGATAGATTAAAAAAATAATTATGACGACGACGACAATTTTGTTACATTTAAATGTAACAAAAATTATTCAACTCCCTAAATACTGCACTCTCAATTCAGCTACCATGTCTAGCCGTCACTCCCTTTAATATATAATATCCTGGTATATAGATCTGAGATGACGAAGCAAGGGAAAGATATTGAGAACTTGAAGAGAAAGGTTCAGGCTGTGGAGACCTTGAAACAGAGCCTGGAGAAGGACAAGGAGAGACTCAAGCAGGAGTTTGTCAAGAAGAACAAGGTGTAATGGAATTGAGTCTTTGTAACAAACTCAAGCTTTCTAATCCCTATATCTTTACAACCTTATGGTGTAAACCTTTGATATTGCTACCTTATACTATTTGAGCAAACAGAATTCAAAGTTTAAAATATCTAAGTTCTACGCAATAGGGTTGTAAAGATTTAAGGGTTAGAAATTCAGAGTGTGTGGCAAAGACGCATTTCCTTTTTTATTTTTGTTGGTTTAGATATAATAAATATCAAAACTGAGCTGGGAACTTTTGTATTAAATTTCCAGCAACTTCGAGCATACCTAGACTTTTAGCCATAGAGAATAGAATATATATTAGAGAGGAATTAAAGAATCTCTTGGTATGAATTTTTTCAGTCCCTTTCAGCCTGAAAGGGAGTTGAAAGGGAGTTCAAAGTGTACAAATCATGTAAATGTTCACAAATTATGTGCAGTAGAGTACATTAATACAGTATGTTCCCTAGACTATTAATTTCAATTTCGAATTTTTTAAAGCTGTTAATAAACTTTATAATGAATTAGGTGAATAAAAAACATCATTTGATTTATTGTTATAACGGAAAATCATCGTTTGTAAAGTGGAAGGCATAGAGTCTATGTGAAATGATCATTGGTCAATTATGAAACCAGACTATTTCATAATTTGGTTTTCTTTTAACAATAATTTTAGATTTTCTATAAAATTATATTCCAGGCCCAATATGTGAAGTACACCTGCAGTATGGAAACAGTACAACAAAATGGCCGTTTTACACTTTTTTCTAGTAAATTCCCCTCTAATATATATTCTATTCTCTATGCTTTTAGCTTAGCCACACAGGGAGGATTTAAGATTTAAGGAATCCCTTCTTTAAGACTGATTCCTAGCCTTAGCTCAAAAATGTCCAGTTCTGGTGAACTGATCGCGCCAAATATTTTTGTGTGTGCAGATCTCACTTGATCTCTGAGAAGGATTATGGTCGCTTAAAATAAAAAAAATATCGCTACAAAATACTAGATTTTCTAAAATTTATAATTTTTATTAAAAAACAGGAAAGGAAATGAGTTTTGCCACAAACTCAAATTTTGTAATCCCTATATCTTTGCAACCCGATGTTGTTGAGCTTTGATATTTCAAACTATGAATATTGATTGGTAGATCAAAAAGTCTCAGTTTGAAATATCAAAGGTTTACACCATCTGGTTGCAAAGATAAAATTTTGTTTGTGGCAAAGACTCGATTCTATCAAATATTTTAAGAGCTACTGTTAAGTAATAAAAAAAAGCAGTTCCTTTCATGCTTTTTAATTAAATTTCAGTTTTTCAAAACATGAATTTGAACAAACAACAGAGTTCCAATAATATTTTCATAAACAATATTCCTTCTATAATTCTTCAATACTTTAAATAACAAGTCAATTATCAATCCATAAAATAACTTAAGATTAGTTTTTTAAAAAGTAATGAGATTTTTTTTGGAAAAATAACAAAAAATATTTCTTTTAAGGTAAAAGAAAAAAAGTTTTGCTTGCTAGACATAATTGTTGAAAATTATTTCTGAAGCAGTGACTAAACGAAAAAATAAACAAATTACAATTTTATAAATTAAAATTCTTATAACTTACTGAATATTAATGTATGTAGGATATTGAAGAGCTGAAGCACCAGGCCATAGTAGACAAGGAAATCGTGCAAAAAATATTAGATCTTTAAATCTTTTATTTTTAAAGTACAGCGAGAAAATGTTTTTATTTAAATCTCGTCTGATTCTAAAGAAGGTGATTGCCATTGGCCGGATGAAATTGAATTATTTTAAATACAGATAAGGTCGGGTTGTTTCTTTTGAAAATCCATTAAAAAATTTAAAAAAATATTTGAAATATTTAGGTTTTCAATGAAAAAGAATAAAGGGGCTGAAAAAAAATAAAGTTGAAGGATAAAATTTTACTGTATGCAGATTGAAGAGACGCGAAGCATCCTTTAAGCCTAGTTTCTCAATTTGCACGTTGTGTACAGAAAACGTTGTCTGAACTGGCAAATGCGCGTGAAAGCGCAGAACTACGGCTAGAGAGGCAGCAACAAAATACGAAGGGAATAAGTTTCAGCTGAATATTGTGAAAAAATTTTTAAATCATGAATTTTTGTGGTTAACATTTGACTTTTCTCCTACAGCCAATATTGTAATCTCTGATCTTCTTGTCAATATTCTCCACCTTATATTTGTAATCTCTGATCTTCTTGTCAATATTCTCCACCTTATATTTGTAATCTCTGATCTTCTTGTCAATATTCTCCACCTTATATTTGTAATCTTTGATCTTCTGATCAATATTCTCCACCTTATATTTGTAATCTCTGATCTTCTGGTCAATATTCTCCACCTTATATTTGTAATCTCTGATCTTCTGTTCAATATTCTCCACCTTGTATTAGTAATCTCTGATCTTCTGGTCAATATTCTCCACCTTATATTTGCAATCTCTGATCATCTTGTCAATATTCTCTACCTTATATTTGTAATCTCTGATCTTCTTGTCAATGTTCTCCACCTTATATTTGTAATCTCTGATCTTCTTGTCAATATTCTCCACCTTATATTTGTAATCTCTGATCTTCTTGTCAATATTCTCCACCTTTTCTATCTATCTATCTATCTATCTATCTATCTTTTTTCTTTTATTTTTCTTTCTTTTATCTAAATTTCTATTGTAGAGTGGAGGAAGAGAGAGATAAATATATGCGAGAAGGTAATTTACTTTTAAAGCAGGGGCGTTGAAACAGAGCCCCCCCCCCCCCATATATAATTTCAATATTAAAAATCAACATAATCAACAATTTATTCTCCCTTGATCATTGATCATTGTTCCCGGCCCCTTGATTTAATCCTCAAGATGATTAAGGATCGGAAGTATGAACGGAATTAAATCTTTGCCACCGATAGTGTAAACCTTGAGTATTTAATGCTTAAAGAATATTTAAGAATTTATGGTTAAAAGTTAAGGTTTGCAAAGATAAAGTGACTGATATATTGCACATATAATCATATTTTTAACCTCTCCTGTATATCTATATATTTACCTAACCCCTCCTGTATATCTAGGTATATCCCTAGCCCCACCTGTATATATCTAGGTATAGCCCTAATCCCTCCTGTGTATCTAGGTATAAATCTAAACCCTCCTGTATATCTAGGTATAGACCTAACCCCTTCTGTATATCTAGATATAGACCTAACCCCTTCTGTATATCTAGGTATAGCCCTAACCCCTTCTGTATATCTAGGTATAGACCTAACCCCTTCTGTATATTTAGGTATAGCCCTAACCCCTCCTGTATATATCTAGGTATAGACCTAACAGGACGAATTGATCTTCTCCTTGATGAAATCAGGAACTCAGAAACCCTTTTAAACAATGCAAGGTGATTGTAATTATGCATCGAAAACCAGAAAACTCTGGAATAGAAAGATAAATTTCAAACTCAAATTTTTATTTTGAATAGTCCAAAGCAACATGAGAGAGAGGAGTAGTAACGGAGCTCCAAAGGAGGAGTAGAAACGGTGCACCGCAAATCACTGCATTTGGTGCACCGTTCGGTGCACCTCAATCGCATCCGTACAGGATACCGCCGAACCTCAGTTCTTTGAGAATCGGAGTTCCGTTTTCGAACTCCGCGACATGATTAACGGTGCACCTTTTCTCCTCCGTTCTTTGTATTTTTTCTTGCTGGGGACACATGCAACTGTGAAGTGTAAATATTAAAGAGTCCTATCTAAACAAATGGTTTAATAAGCTACTGATAAAACTATTTGCTTTGCAACAACATCTGTTGCGTTTATAATAACAGGACTGTTCGGACGTATACTTCAGTGCTCCGCTCTGAGCAGCCGGTGCCTCATAGCCAGCTGGGGAGCGCTGTGCAAAATCAAACATGGCGGCAACACGCCTTAATACAAAAATAAAAAACAGTGCAGAGTTTGGGGTCTTTTGCCGTTTCTTCCTCTATCTCTGTGGTCGGCCTTTTTTTCTTCAAAATTACCAGAGATACTACGAAGATCTTAATTTATTAAATAAAACCAAGACTAATTTTAAGACCAAATTTGGAAATGACAGGACTAGGAATATTTTGTAATTACTATTCTATGAATAATATTTGTCACAAAATTATGTTGACTAAGGAATACCGCATTTATTTCGAAGATCAAAGACGATTTTCAAGTCGTCTTTCATTTGTCAAGAAATTCCATTTCTTTGTGAATATCACTGTATACTGTTTAGGAAGCAAATATCTGAGAAAAAATCTGAATTAAAGAAAAAGGAAAATCTTTATTATGCAGTTAGAACAGACAGGTAAACTCTATTTAAAGGAATTGTTCTGGTTATTAAACATCTGTATGCAGTTAGAACAGACAGGTAAACTCTAGTTAAAGGAATTGTTCTGGTTATTAAGCATCTGTATGCAGTTAGAACAGACAGGTAAACTCTAGTTAAAGGAATTGTTCTAGTTATTAAACATCTGTATGTAGTTAGAACAAACAGGTAAACTCTATTTAAAGGAATTGTTCTGGTTATTAAGCATCTGTATGCAGTTAGAACAGACAGGTAAACTCTAGTTAAAGGAATTGTTCTAGTTATTAAAAATCTGTCACCTTTAAGGCCATACAAGATACACAACTGTGTCCTTTAAGCAGGGGCTGCTTTGTCTCCCATTGGAATTTTTTACAGTGAATTTGGACAATCTAATATCTAAACCATCTATCTATCTATCTATCAATCTAATATCTAAACCATGAGCAGCTTGCGGGGGGAAAGTGGAAAATGTGTTAAAGCAAGATTTAGTTTTTTATAAATTTCTTTTTCATTTTGAGTGAAAAAGTGGTGCTACAGGTAAATTTTTTTTTATACATTCTTTAAAATCAAAATGAAAGGGCAGGAAGGTATCTGCTCTCCCTTCTTCCACTCCTAATTTTTCCAGTGGGGGGGAGTGTCCCCCCTTCCCCCCCCATAAGCCGTCTCTTATAGCTAAAAAAACAATAATTAAAGTAGTTTCTTTATTTTTTTTACTAAAAATGGAAAGATCCACACCAAGATCTTGGTTTCAAAGTTCTATGAAAGTCTTAGATATAAAAAGAGAGTATAAAAACGTTTGCTTTAATACAAAAAAGACACTTTTTAGTTTATATTTGATCCAATTTTTTATTTAGGGCACACCTTACGCAAGCTGTTACAGAGGCACAGGTAATATTATGGATATGGATAAGAATCATTTACTGTTAATATTATGGATAAGAATCATTTACAGGTAATATTATGGATATTGGATAGAAAACATTTACTGTTGATATTATGGATATGGATAGGAAACATTTGCATGTAACTATGGATATCGATAGGAAGCATTTAAAGGTAATATTATGGATACGGATAGGAAGCATTTAAAGGTAATATTATGGATATAGATAGGAAGCATTTACAGGTAACATTATGAATACTAATAGGAAGTATTTACTGTTAATATTATGGATATGGATAGGGAACATTTACAGGCAATATTATGGATAGGGATGGGAAACATTTACAGGTAATATTATGGATATCGATAGGAAGTATTTAAAGGTAATATTATGGATATGGATAAGAATCATTTACAGGCAATATTATGGATATTGGATAGGAAGTATTTACAGGTAATATTATGGATATGGATGGGAAACATTTGCATGTAACTATGGATATCGATAGGAAGCATTTAAATGTAATATTATGGATATAGGTATGAAGCATTTACAGGTAACATTATGGATATTGATAGGAAGTATTTACTTTTAATATTATGGATATGGATAGGAAACATTTACAGTTAACATTATGGATATCGATAGGAAGCATTTAAAGGTAATATTATGGATATGGATAAGAATCATTTACAGGCAATATTATGGATATTGGATATGAGGTATTTACAGGTAATATTATGGATATGGATAGGAAACATTTGCATGTAACTATGGATATCGATAGTAAGCATTTAAAGATAATATTATGGATATGGATAAGAATCATTTACAGGTAATATTATGGATATTGGATAGAAAACATTTACTTTTATTATTATGGATATTGTGGATAGGAAACATTTGGATGTAACTATGGATACGATAGGAAGCATTTAAAGGTAACATTATGGATATTGATAGGAAGTATTTACTGTTAATAATATGGATATGGATAGGAAGTATTTACTGTTAATATTATGGATATGGATAGGAAGCATTTACAGGTAATATTATGGATATTGATAGGAAGCATTTACGGGTAATATTATGGATATGGATAGGAAGCATTTACAGGTAATATTATGTATGTGGTTAGGAAACATTTACAGGTAATATTATGGATGTAGATAGGAAGCATTTACAGGTAATATTATGGATATGGATAGGAAGCATTTACAGGTAATAGTATGTATATGGATAGGAAACATTTACAGGTAATATTATGGATATGGATAGGAAATATTTACAGGTAATATTATGTATATGGATAGGAAACATTTACAGGTAATATTATGGATATGGATAGGAAGCATTTAAAGGTAATATTACGCATATGGATAGGAAACATTTACAGGTAATATTATGGATATGAATAGGAAACATTTAAAGGTAATATTATGGATATGGATAGGAAGTATTTACAGCTAATATTTTGATGCAATATAAAAAAAAAATTTAAGAATTTTTTATTTTTTCCAATTCTCGCACTCTTCAGATTTTTGCTTTCTGCATAAATAAAATCACTAATGTAAGCCGAAACAAAATTTCGTCAAAAGAATGAATAGTATTGAAAAAAAAATTTTAATCCTAAACAAAGCAATTTTTTAAATGTTTAGAAAAAAAATGAAAAATTGACCTTATCTTCTGATAGCAGTTTTTTAAATCGGTAATTAATGAATGAAATATGATTTTTGTATACTTTTCTTTTACATATGTTGCTTCCAATTTGGTGTAAAAAGGATTTTCGATAAAATAAATAGTTTCTCCCTTAGTTATTTTATGGATAGGGAACATTTAGAGGTTATCATGATAAAGAGAACACATTCTCTAGCTGTTTAGTCCAGGTTAAATAGATTATCAAGTACAATAGGTGACAACAGAGAAATGGACCAATTATACACGACGTCGCAAGAAAAACAAAATTTTCTCACATTAGTTGACATGTTCTCCAAGATTTAATAAAAAAGTGTAAAAACAGAAAATAAAGAACACATAAAATTATACTTATTTCACTGTAAGATACGCACTTTATTCTAAGTTTATCACTATTATTAATTATTTTGTCGGACACAAAAACTGAATTGACGCTTGTGACGTCAGTACTAAGAGTGAACAAATTCTACGTTGCCATCTATTGTACTAGAATCCATTTGGTCCTGGTTCATAACCTCTTTAGATTTATGTGAACAATAAAACAAAAAAATGCTGACGAGGATGTAATGATGGTATTTTTTAAGGATGAGATTGCCGACCTGAAGGAGAAGATGAAGGTGTTGACCCATCAGTTTGATCAGATGAAGGAGGAGATCATCGCCAAGGTCGTCTTCAGCATTTTTTTTCGGAAAAAAACATGATTTTCGATTTAATTTAATATACAAATAAATACTTTTATTTGGTAATGCATAATTCAACTGCACGCAAAAATCATTACATTTACAAATATAAACATTACATGCATATCAACCCTAGTGTATGTAGGATATCACCCCACTTTACGTAAAAATACAATAATTTCGATTAAAAGCTTTAATTTATGCATGAGAGATAAATAAAACTCATAAATAGTTTCTCTTTGCTCTCATATTTAGGTGCTGAAGAAAAGCTTGTAATCAAAACTGAGATAAAAAGTGTGTTTTGTTATAAACGACGGCACTGCAGCATAAAAACATTTTTTAGATAATCCCAATGCATTATTTTTAAAATAATCATATTACAATTACCAATACATTACTGTCAATTATTTCATTCATTTATTTTTGAATTGTCTGATTCAATTGTTTTATTATTATTTTTTTTTATTTATTCATTTATTTTTTAATGTTTGTTTTTGCAGGAACAAGATTTGATCAAGGAAGTAGAAGATAAACAAAGAATATTAAAAGAGAAGGATAATTTGATAAAGGTCATTAAACATTGTGCTAAAATTTTTTGACATAATTTTAAATTTCTCCAAATAATTTAACATTTTATCTAAGTAATTTAACATTTTATCAAGATAATTTAACATTTTTTTTCAAAATAATTTAGTATTTATCAAGACAATTGAACATTTTATCGAGATAATTTAAATTTGTTTAACATAATCTAACATTATAATAATTTAACATTTTATCAAGATAATTTAACATTTTATCAAGAAAATTTAACATTTTATCAAGAAAATTTAACATTTGTTAAGATATTTTACGAAGAGAAAATGCTCACCGATAGAGATTTAATAGAAGATGGGCGCGTGAAAGCCGAGTTAAAAAAAACAAAAACTGAAAATTTTCTCAAGCTAACATAATTCTTTATTTTTATGAGAGAAAATGGCATTATTTTGCAATAATCGTTTTTAACGTGGATCTGCAAAAATAAGTTTTTAGATAAGCAGGATTGTTGTTTTCACGAAAAAGACATGTTAAAATAAATAATTTACATTTAAAATCCATAGGACCTGGAGAAGCTAAGGTTAGAACTCATCAGCTCAGGGAAAGAAAAACAGGATCTTGGAAAGGAAATGAAGAAAATTCAAGGCAGTAACAAGGTAATAGATTCAAGGCAGTAACAAGGTATTAGATTCAAGGTAGTTAGAAGGTAACAGATTCAAGGCAATTACATGGTAATAAATTCAAGGTAATAACATGGTAATAGATTCAAGGCAGTAACAAGGTAATAGATTCAAGGTAGTTACAAGGTAATAGATTTAAGGCAGTTACAAGGTAATAGATTCAAGGTAGTTACAAGGTAATAGATTTTAGGTGGTAATAGATTCAAGGTAGTTACAAGGTAATAGATTCAAGGCAGTAACAAGGTAATAGATTCAAGGCAGTTACAAGGTAATAGATTCAAGGTAGTAACAAGGTAATAGATTCTAGGTAGTACTAAGGTAATAGATTCAAGGTAGTAACAAGGAAATAGATTCTAGGTAGTTACAAGGCAATAGATTTGAGGCAGTAACAAGGAAATAGATTCTAGGCAGTTACAAGGTTATAGATTCAAGGTAGTTACAAGGTAATAGATTCGAGGCATTAACAAGGTAATAGATTCAAGGTAGTTACAAGGTAATAGATTCAAGGTAGTTACAAGGTAATAAATTCAAGGTAGTTACAAGGTAATAGATTCAAGGCAGTTACAAGGTAATTGATTCTAGGTAGTTACAAGGTTATAGTTTCAAGGCAGTTACAAGGTAATAGATTCTAGGTAGTTACAAAGTAATAGATTCAAGGTAGTTACAAGGAAATAGATTCAAGGCAGTAACAAGGTAATAGATTCAAGGCATTAACAAAGTAATAGATTCAATTTCAATGTAGTTACAAGGTAATAGATTCAAGGTAGTTACAAGGTAATAGATTCAAGGTAGTAACAAGGTTATAGATTTAAGGCAGTTACAAGGTAATAAATTCAAGGTAGTTACAAGGTAATAGATTTAAGGCAGTTACAAGGTAATAGATTCAATGCAGTTACAAGGTAATAGATTCAAGGTAGTAACAAGGTAATAGATTCAAGGTAGTTACAAGGTAATAGATTCAAGGCAGTTACAAGGTAATTGATTCTAGGTAGTTACAAGGTTATATATTCAAGGCAGTTACAAGGTAATAGATTCTAGGTAGTTACATGGTAATAGATTTAAGGTAATTACATGGTAATAGATTCAAGGTAGTTACAAGGTAATAGATTCAAGGCAGTTACAAGGTAATAGATTCAAGGTAGTAACAAGGTAATAGATTCAAGGCAGTTACAAGGTAATAGATTCAAGGTAGTTACAAGGTAATAGATTCAAGGCATTTACAAGGTAATAGATTTAAGTCAGTTACATGGTAATAGATTCAAGGCGGTTACAAGGTAATAGATTCAAGCCAGTTGCAAGGTAATAGATTCTAGGTAGTTACAAGGTAATAGATTCAAGGTAGTTACAAGGTAATAGATTCAAGGCAGTTACAAGGTAATAGATTCAAGGCAGTTACAAGGTAATAGATTCTAGGTAGTCACAAGGTAATAGTTTCAAGGTAGTTACAAAGTAATAGATTCAAGGTAGTTACAAGGTAATAGATTTAAGGCAGTTACAAGGTATTAAATTCAAGGTAGTTACAAGGTAATAGATTCAAGGTAGTTACAAGGTAATAGATTCAAGGCAGTAACAAGGTAATAGATTCAAGGTAGTAACAAGGTAATAGATTCAAGGTAGTTACAAGGTAATAGATTCAAGGTAGTTACAAGGTAATAGATTCAAGGTAGTTATAAGGTAATAGATTCAAGGCAGTTACAATGTAATAGATTCAAGGCAGTAACAAGGTAATAGATTCAAGGTAGTAACAAGGTAATAGATTCAAGGTAGTTACAAGGTAATAGATTCAAGGTAGTTCCGAGGTAATAAATTCTAGGTAGTTACAAGGTAATAGATTCAAGGTAGTTACGAGGTAATAAATTCAAGGTAGTAACAAGCTAATAGATATAGAGTCTCTCCCCACGCAATATAGTGTGAGAAATGATTTTAATATTTACATTTACCAGATAGCGCTTGTACTTAAGTAAACCTATACTCTACCAGACACCGCTTGTACTTAAGTAAACCTATACTCTACCATATTCCGCTTGTACATAAGGAAACCTTTACTCTATATCTATTTACTCTAATGTTTACAGTCGAACAAATGTCCCCTTCAGAAAAAACAGCGTACTGCAAATGTCTCCTTCAGAGAAAACAGCGTATTGCAAATGTCTCCGTCAAAAAAAAAACGGCGTACTGCAAATGTCTCCTTCAGAGAAAACAGCGTATTGCAAATGTTTCCGTCAAAAAAACGGCGTACTGCAAATGTCTCCTTCAGAGAAAACAGAGTAATGCAAATGTCTCCGTCAAAAAAAAGCGTGCTGCAAATGTCTCCTTCAGAAAAAAACAGCATACTGAAAAAGTCTCCTTCAGAAAAAAAGCGTACTGCAAATTTCGCCTTCAGAAAAAACAACGTACTGCAAATTTCTCCTTCAGAAAAAACAACGTACTGCAAATGTCTCCTTCAGAAAAAACAGCGCACTGCAAATGTCTCCTTCAGAAAAAACAACGTACTGCAAATGTCTCCTTCAGAAAAAACAGCGTACTGCAAACGTCGCCTTCAGAAAAAACAGCGTGCTGCAAATGTCTCCTTCAGAAAAAAACAGCGTACTGAAAATGTTTCCTTCAGAAAAAACAGCGTACTGAAATGTCCCCTTCAGAAAAACAGCGTACTGCAAATGTCGCCTTTAGAAAAACAGCGATCTGCAAATGTCCCCGGCAGAAAAACAGCGTACTGCAAATGTCGGACAAATTTCTATCCCAGAGATAAGAGAGTACAGAGATCTATTAAAGAATAAAATATGCGATATTTTCTACAACGTGTTCTAATGTGTACAACTTGAGTACACGACCAAGAAATAAATATCTCTCTTCAGGAATATTTAAGGATCCTTTGAATACGAAATACAAAACCTTCAAAAATAGACTAAATTCATAAATTTTATGTTTTATGGTAAAAATTAGAGTATTTCTTTAAAAATTGTAAAACTTAACCTCTGAATGGGTATTATATGCAACAAGAGGCCGTTAGATGGCAGTCAAAAACCTGTTGTGGAATGAAGCATTATTTTAACTAATTGTTCTCCTAGAAGCTGGAGATGGAGAAGATGGCCCTGAAGGGGGAGATGGAGAAACAGGGACCAAATTTAATGAACTTGAGCTTCGTTGCTGAACTACCAACTACAGGATCAAATTTGAATCACCAATTCAAAATTAAAGATTAAGGAGGATTTGAGTCAGTGATTCAAATTTGAACCCTTTAAAGGCAGTTTAAATTCATTAGATTCTGTGGCAGGTGTCCCACAAAGAACTTCTCAACATAAAACTAGCAGACAAACAAATAGAGATTGATACATTAAAACGATCTTGTTCTGTACAACAAAAGGTAATAAATTAGCAACAAAATAGAAATGGTATTTTTTATTAAAAATATTATTTTTCATATAATGATGTTAACAATCATAATGACAATATTTTAAAAATATTATTTTTCATATAATGATATTAACAATCATAATGGCAATATTTTAAAAATATTATTTTTCATATAATGATATTAACAATCATAATGACAATATTTTAAAAATATTATTTTACATATTATGATATTAACAATCATAATGACAATATTTTAAAAATATTATTTTACATATAATGATATTAACAATCATAAAATAGAAATAATAACAATATTAATAAATGTTTAAAAAATAAACTGTATAATTTTATGAAGCACACAAATGCATGCAAACTGCAAAGCCTAAGTTAAATAGTCTTGACATATTTTTCTGATTGTTTTTTTCGATTTGATGAAATATTTTGGGGAAAGATTTGTTATTTCTTCAAATTGTTACGTACATTGTGCACTTCTTTTGCTGTACGTTGTACACCATACAAAAAATATCATTAAAAATGTTTACTGTATTGTATGTTGTGTACTGTAGTTTATATTGTGAATTGTGTACTGTTCTGTACTGTACTGTGCAGGTGCTGGAAAGAGGTGAGGCTAAATATGCAGAAAAGATGGAGGATATAAGAATACTTAAACTAGAAATTAGAAGACTCAGGTTGAAATTGAAAAATTTAAAAAATTTTAAACTTTAAAAAAAGAGAAAAAAAAACTCAAATCTCAACTTTGCGGGTTTTGTTTAATTTTATAAAATGAAAGTTTTTTATTAGGACCATGTCATGGCATATACATCAAGTTAGATACTTAAAACTGAGCTAACATTGCTGGTCCCAAACACCACTTTCATTTCAATGAACATAACATGTGCGTGACGTTATCAACCCTATTTAACCTAAAAATTGATTTCATAACATTTTTTTTACATTTTAACATTTTTGTAAACATTTTGGAATAAAATGGTCGCTGAAAAAAAGTTTACATTTACAAAATAAGAGAAATCACAGACGGAAAACATTAAAAAATAAATTCCAGCTTTTTGTTCTTTTCTTAGGGACGAGTTGGATTTACACTGTAAAGATGGGGAGGGACTTCAACAGATGAAAAAGGAACGACTCATCAGTTTTTATTCGATTCACAATTTTGATTTTGGTGTATTGGTCATGGGCCAGGGGGCGGAAACGTCATGTACGCGTGTCTGTACCAAAAGAGTGTGTGTAAGTAATAACGAACCGAAGGCATGTACAGTAGGTATACAGTACATAAGAATCTCGGTATTTGTACAGTCTTGGAGAGTACATTGGTTTATTGTTAATTGTTTACTTAAACATATGCTTAATATACATGTAATATATTATTCATATATTTAAGTCAACATTATAAAGCCAAGTATGCAAAGAATATAATTTGATTAAAGTTTGCAATAAACTATAACTCGTTATTGAACCTTAATTATAATTGACGACATTGTTCTTCAATTTCCTTGACTGTAATCATGTTGTGTGTTTGTGCGTGTGTAATAACGAACTCGTCTGCAAAGCAGTGCGACTGGCTTCTCATGCCAGACCAGCGCCATTTCCCTTCCCTTTATTCTAATTCCCTGGTTTTGGCACAGTACAGAAGGTGTATAATCATTTAAATAATTTTTATTTTTTAAGAGGACAGAGAACTCTGTGTATAAGTCTCTTAAAAGATATGAAAAAAAAACAGTAAAACTAAAGTGTTCGCTAGCCTACTGTGTTAACTCAAAGCAAAGGAAGTCACATTTATTCCTGAAAAATCTAAAACATAATTTGTTTTATTCTGGTTCTGAGAGTCCAGCTGTATTAGGATGTTCTAAGGCTAGAAAGAGAGTTAATGCAACAGAAAAGCAAAAATAAGATACTTCAAGGAGAACTAGAAAATCCTCTAAATGTACACAGGTAAACGGTACACTGTACACAGGTAAACTGTACACTGTACACAGGTAAACTGTACACTGTACACAGGTAAACTGTACACTGTACACAGGTAAACTGTACACTGTGCACAGGTAAACTGTACACTGTACACAGGTAAACTGTACACTGTACACTGGTAGACTGTACACTGTACACAGGTAAACTGTATCCTGTACACTGTACACAGGTAAACTGTACATTGTACACTGTACACAGGTAAATTGTACACTGTACACAGGTAAACTATACACAGGTAAACTGTACACAGGTAAACTGTACACAGGTAAACTTTACACAGGTAAACTGTACACAGGTAAACTGTACAAAGGTAAACTGTACACAGATACAATGTACACAGGTAAACTGTACACAGGTAAACTGTACACAGGTGAACTGTACACAGGTAGACTGTACACAGGTAAACTGTACACTGTACGTATGTAAACTGTTCACTGTGCACAGGTAAACTGTTCACTGAGGACAGGTAAACTGTACACTGTACACAGTTAAACTGTACATTGTACACAGGTAAACTGTACACTGTACGCAGGTAAGCTGAACACTGTACACAGAAAAACTTTACACTTTACACAGGTAAACTGTACACTGTGCATAGGTAAACTGTAACTGTACGCAGGTAAACTGTTCACTGTGCACAGGTAAACTGTACACTGTACACAGGTAAACTGTACATGTACATAGTTAAACTGTACATTGTACACAGGCAAACTGTACACTGTACACAAGTAAATCTGGATTTTCCTGGAATATGGAAAACTTAGAAATGCTTCAGGTTTGCGTATACTCGCCTACAACATATCTTATCCCAAGACAGTTCTAGGACCAGTGTCCTATCCTCTGTGTCCTGTACCGGGTTATGACGTAGGCAAGGTACAGAAGCTAGAATCACTAGAATTGTATGACTACCTTACCCTATTCCAGTACCCATGATTTGTACTGTACAGTTTTCTCTAACTAATTAAAAGTCGGCCTGTTACTTAACATGAGTTGGAGTTAACAGTGAAGTAACTTTTCGTGTTTAATTGTTATTTTAATGATAAACCTTCTTTCCGTTTTGTTTTCTGACTTCAGTTAATTAAAAAAATTACTGTCTTTATATTTGTATATTTGCAGATGGCGTATGTTGGAGGGGAAGGATCCTGAAACTCTAGAACTCATTCAGAAGATAAATACTTTACAGAAACGATTAATCTTGAAACAGGAGGAAATTATTGAGAAAGATTTAAAACTGGAGGAAGTTGAGAAGGTAAATACAACCACCCCCAGGATGTTGTGGAGTAAAAGTGTTTAATCATGATAATTTCTCTGCAGTCTTTCTTTTCAGCAAGAAATGCGCACGTCACTTTTATTTAAAATTTTGAAATTTGCAGAAAATTACGTTTTATTTCAAGCTTAGTTTTCCTTCAAAATTGGGTAAATATGATAAGTATTATAATTTTATTTTTGACTTTTTTGGACCTTAAAGGGAGGGTTCGCGAAAAATGAAAGGGGGTATAGGCTTACGGCGAAAAATAATCGCTTTTGATCGCTCCTAATCTTACTTCTATCTGTTGCGTCTATAAGGAGAAAATTGTTAAGAAAGACTCATGCTGAAGAACGAAGCGTCCATACAAATTCAGAAAGTTCCAGTACATTCAACTCGGATCGTAAAATAATCAATTTTATTCCAAACAAATCTGTAGATTAGCGGTATTTCACCCACAAGATTCGACTTCTAATTTGTGTTTCTTGAAACAATTAAATTACTATTAAACTATTTTTCCATGCTTTCTAGTTGTATAGAGAGTGTAAGTTACAGCTGTCTAGACAGCCAAGCTATGATGTTCATGATGAGATTAGAAATCTTAGGTAAATCTATATATAAATTTGGCTTGTCTGTCTGTTTGTTAGTCTGCCTGTTTGTTTGTATCCAATAAACGTCAAAAGGGCTGAACCGCTCGGGCCCAAATTTTTTGTGGGACTTCACGTGACCACAGGGAAGGTTTATGAATGATAAAAATTTAAAAAATGTGTTTTAAAGGTTTTAATTTTGTAAAAAAATTAAATTCTTGAAAATCCGCAAAAATTTTTTTTAAATCCGCAAAATTTTTTTCTTCTTTGTTTTAAAATGTAAAGAAAAAGAACATGTTCACAATTTAAATATAATAATATGCAAAGTATTGTAGAAGTCAGGTCTGTGCGATTTGACTTCTATATACTAACTTTATTGTCTGTTTGTCAGTTTGTTTGTTTTTAACCGATAAAACCAAATTTTTTGTGGGACCTCATATGACCCCAGTGAAGGTTTATTGTTGATCAGAATTACAAAAAATGTCTCCAAAATTGTTGAATATCCACGAAAAAATTGAAAATCCGCAAAAGTTGAATTAGAAGATGGATTGCCTTGTTAATTATAATATGAAACTATAATATTTTTGATAAAAAGTAGATCCATAAAAATCGTTCTCAATAAAAAGTATTAGTGTGTGTAACTGTATACTGTACATAAAGAAAGGTATGTACCCTTTTATCTAAAATGTACTTTAGAGAAGATATAAAGAGGAAAAACAACCAAATTGTACTGCTGAGCACTGCAGCTAATGTTTACCAAACAGAAACCGGAAATGCAAACCGGAACCTGGATCAACTCAAGACAGAGTTAAATATGGTTAGATTTAATGAATTGTGTATTGCCAAGTTAATTTATTTTTGTTCTTAATGAGTAGAGATTGATAGGTCGTCTTCTTAAAGGGACTGTAAGCGTAATTTCAAGTGACCCTACATGCTAAGTTTGCAATATACGATCCATAACGGTATCCTTAAAAGTCTTTTCTATGATGAAGTATGAAGTCATAGAGAATAGAATATATAGAGAGGAATTAAAAGAATCTCTCGGTATGAATTTTTTCAGTTCTTTTCAGCCTGAAAGGGAGTTCAAAGTGTACAAATCATGTAAATGTTCACAAATTATATGCAGTAGAGTACATTAATACAGTATGTTCCCTAGACTATTCATTTCAATTTCGAATTTTTCAAACTGTTAAATAAACTTTATAATGAAGTAGGTGAATAAAAAACATTTGATTTATAGTTATAACGGAAAATCATCGTTTGTAAAGTGGAAGGCATAGAGTCTATGTGAAATGATCATTGGTCAATTATGAAACCAGCCTATTTCATAATTTGGGTTTCTTTTAACAATAATTTTAGATTTTCTATAAAATG